CGGGGGAGCAGGGGGCTGTGGCTGCGCCTGCGGCCGCGGGGAGCGCAGGCCCTTCCGAGGCGGCGCGCTCGCTCCTCGCCGAGAGCTGCGTGTGCGCGCCGCCTGTGCCTGCCGGTCCGTAGTGAGCTTCGGGCAGGGTTCGTGCTGCCAGCGGCGGCCCCGTCTGGCTGAGCCTCAGTGGGCCTCGCCAGAGCAGGGCCTCCCTCTGCTTCTCTCCCTTACCTGGCCCCGCCCTCCGCGTGTTCGAGGCTGGGGCTTCCTGGCACCTGTGGGCATTGAGGCTTGGCTGTTTCCAGGAGCCGGCCGGCCGTGCAGCTGCACCAGCCACGGACCTTACCCTGGATGGGAACCCTGTTCCCATCACCAGCGGCGGAAGCTTCTGGTGGGAGAGAGGAGCAGAGGCAGTCAGATGAAGGTAAAACTGATTCAGATGCTAGAAAAAAGCTTTCCAAGCGAGAATGACACTGGTCCATTTTGGGGACCGTTTCCTGCCCTTCCTGCAAGGGGATGTGACTTTCTAACTAGGGAAGGGTGGGCTCCCCATCAGCTCTGAGGTCCCTTCTAACTCAGTGACTGATTGCATAATGTCATCCCTTAAAACTTTTATTTGGAACATTTTAGACAGACAAAGAGGTAGGAAGGACGATTCAGTGAGCACCTGTGTGAGGACCGCCTGGCTTAAATAAAATAAATGTTAACTGAAACCTTCTGCATATTCTGCCTCAATCCCGGCCCCCTCCCTCTACTCCAGTGACGTCATACTCTTGGACTAGGTTTATCAGCACATTAAAATGCACAGCTTAGTACCTGTCCAGTCCTGTGGCACTTCTTTTGGTTCTTCGCGAGCAGATGGGAAGTGAAGCCTGATGCCGCGACTCTGCGCAGTCGGGAGTGGGGAAGGACCAGGCTTTGGCACCTCTACCTGCTTTCAGGGTAGACGGCTCCTCGTCTGCTGAGCTCGCTTAGTCTCAAGGGGCGGCTCCTGCTCATTGTCGGTACCTCGTACTGATTCCAAATGTAACGTCTTGAAACGTTAATTTCCAGACCAAGTACACACTGATAGATGAGCAGGACATCCCGCTGGTGGAGGGCTACTCCTTTGAGGTAAGGACGCCGTTCCTTTGCCGGCATGCCCTTAGTCATGCCCAGGAGGGTCATAAGGGGTGGGTTTTCTTCCCTGTGATGTGAGGGCAAGACCTGGTACGCGAGCATCTCAAGCTGTCTGTCACTGCCCCGTGGAGCCCCCTACCGCCTCTGCGATGCTGGTCTTCCCCCACTTCCGCCTGGTTGCAGGCTCTTCCTGAAAAGGAGACAAATTGTGTCATGTTTGTGATTGAGTTCAGTTGGACAAGCTTCTGTGCCCTGGGAGACTCTCCAGGGCTGCCCCCCCTTCTCTTGCCCTCTGCTGTTCCTACCTGATGAAGCTGTTCGGCCTCCAGTCCTCACCCATGCACTCCTCCTTCCACGAGTCTGTGGACCCACTCTTACCTCAGATGTCACCCTTTTATACTTACTTGGTCTAGGGTTTATCTTTTCTTTACTGGGTGGGGGCTGTTTTTTTTTTTTTTAAGGGTAGGAAGATTTATTTCTCTGTGTCCACAATGTTTTGCAAAGAGTGGTTTGTGACCGTGTCTTGCCTCCACAAGAGGAGAGTGCTTCTTGGTGCCACGTGTCTGGGAGACTCCGGAGACCCCCAGGGTCCCAGGAATAGGCCTGGGATTGTCCCTCTGGCTTGTTTTTTAATTTGGAATGTTGTTGATAATCAGAGGCTTTTTAACAGAGCTTTTTCTCATTTTTTCTCAGGCCCGGATGGAAGTAGACGCAGATGGAAATGGTGCTAAGATATTTGCATACGCCTTTGACAAGAACCGAGGAAGGGGGTCAGGAAGGCTCCTTCATGAGCTGCTGTGGTGGGTGTTCCAAGCTGCTTGTTTGCCCTGTCGGGTTTGCGCAAGCCCTGAGGTGCACGGGGCTCATGGAGCCAGCAGACCCCTTGTTGACACATGGTGCCTTCCCCAGGTCTCCCAGTTAATTCTGTGTCATTGTCACTATCCTGGAGGGGTGGCTGCTTTGCGACCTGTGGCACTGGCAGGGCAGCCAGAGAGTCTGCAGGCTGAGCGCCCTTTCTGCTCGGTGTGTTTGGGATACAGCCTCCTCTGGGGGTTGGTGGGGTCTGGCCCTCCTCCGGGTTGGGGAAGGGCCTTCCTCTCTTCTGTGTGAACAGCGAGGTTCCGAAGTGCTTGGGACCACGCAAGTGGGGTGTCCTCCAGGCTGTGAGTGAGATGGTTTCAGGTTCCCTCCTTGGCTCCCTGCAGCCTAGCTCTTAAATCCAGGGGCTGGGCTGTCCACGTGGCCTGTCCTGTTTGGGCCACAGACTGACATACTTGGGTTCCTCTCTGCAGCCTTGCTCCTGATGGGTCCCGTTGGTGTGACGAGGGACCAGTTCAGGGCACACGGCTGAGGTGTTCAGGAGGGTTGGGAGCCTATCTGGAGCATTGTCTGTTTCCTAGGGAGCGGCACAGGGGGGGCATCGCCCCTGGGTTTCAGGTGGTGCATCTCAACGCTGTCACTGTGGACAATCGCCTGGACAACCTGCAGCTGGTGCCATGGGGCTGGCGGCCCAGAGCTGAGGAGACCTCCAGCAAGCAGAGGTGGGTCTTCTTGGGGCCTGGTAATGTGGCCGAGATGCCCCTGAGGGCGGCCCCTCCAAGCTCACTGCCAAGAGGGGCCTGCGTCTACTCTGTGCTCTGAGGCTTCTGTGGGTTTGGTGACCTTGGCCGTTTTCTCTCAGGGTGCGGGGGTCCTCTTTTTCTTCACTGGGGGAGGAGACCGTTTGGAGGCTTATCTTTCTGGGCTGGTCTTCTGAATTGGCTCTTACGGGGAGAGGGGTTGTGTGGGCTGGTCCCCTGTAGGTGGGCAGGACGCCCTTGAGATGTAGGAGCCATCTCCATCTCAGGGATGCCCCTGTGCACACAGATGGGTCTTGCTGTCATGCTCTTTTGTAAACAGTTTATCTGGTCAGTGGTTTAAAGGAAGCAGGACAGTGTGGCTCGGGGGTTGGCCACTCGGCCTCCACCTTTCCTTGGTCCTGAGGACTTGGGCGGATGGGATGCTCCAAGGGCAGTTCCCGTGGCCCCAGGAACAAGCCCCTCTGTGACTTCATGGAGCCCTTAGGAAGAGCTGGGGGACCAGCAGGATGGGAGCCAAAATGAGCCAGGGTGTCCCTGGCCACCTGTGCATCATTTAGGGGCTCCCTAGGGCTTCTGTGCATCTCCTCGGGCCCCTGGGCAGCTTTTCCTGACTTTGGCGGTGCTGGTACTGACTTCCCCTACAGGCAGAAGTCGGTGAGGTCGGTGCGGGGGTATCAGTGTTTCTTAGGATGGAGACTGGGTGGCATCTTTGCAGTGGTCACCACTGGGGTCTTGGTAGAGCCCCACGCACTGGAGGTAGGAAATGGCGGGATTGCCCGGCCAGCTGGGCTTGCTGGTGGGGGATGGTCCCCAGGTATAAGAAGGCCACATCCAATCTGATGCTGCTGTAGCTCTGGAGGGGTATCCATAACTCTGTACGAGGGGAGGGGGTGGGTCTCCAGGCATTGGGGGTCTCTGCTCTGTTGTTAGAGGCTGATCCTAAGACCCCCTCCTGAGGGAGGCTGATCTTCTTGTGGTAGCTGGGTTAGGATTTTCATCTTCCTGGAGGTTACGTGAGTCTAGACTTCTGGTTGCAAGTGACAGAAACTAAGCCCAATTTCGCTGAAGCAAAGATAGGACCCTTAATGGCTCCCCTGCCGAGATGTGGAAAGCCACAAAGCCACCTCCAGGTCTCAGGAGCGGCTGCCAGGGCTGCACACCCGCTTTCCTCAGCAGTGTCTGGCGGCGTGGGGAAGTCAGCTTGTTTTGAGTCACTTCTGTCTCCGTGCTGGGGGCAGGAGGGTTCTTTCATCAACAGAAGGAAGCTTGTGTCATCAGGACAAGTGTAGGGGCAGCTGAGCAGAACACCAGCCTCTGTGGATTTCCCCCAAGTTGTCCAGCACTCACATGGGTTCAGGGCAGGCCTGGGGCTCACCCTCCCTGGCTCCATGCAGGTCTGCTGCTGCCCATTGCAGACACTGGAGGGACACTGCCCACCGTGTCACCCAGCGATGGGTCTGTCTTTCTGGGATCTCAGCATTTGTCTGTCTGAGCACCACGTATTGTTGTGAGATGAGGCGACCACGGTTAAGAAGACCTGTTTGCAAAAGGGTCTGTTACACCCAGGGCTGCCCCACCGGTGGTCTCCCCCAGGCCATGGCCCAGCTGCCCCATTCTCCTTCAGACCACTCCCAGGAGGCCCAGGACCACCCCAAGGGCCTCTCCCTGCTGGTCGGCCCAGGGGCAGAGGGGTTGGGGTTGGCCTTAGTTTGCTGACCTGGGGTCGGCCCGTCAGCAGTCCTCCACCTGTCGGGGCAGAGCCAGCCCAAGGGTGGCCTGAACTCTCTGCTGGCCCGGCGTCACGTATCCTTCCATCTCACTCAGTGGCCTCCGCATGGTGGCTCTTTGTAGGAATCAACCCATATGGGAGGCGGGCGGTTCGGCAGCACAGCTCCTGCCAGGCACGTACCTTCTGCTCTGCTTTCCTGGCATCACTTCAGTGGGGCCACGAGGGCGGCCCAGCCGGGTGGAAGGTGCTCTTTGCAAAGGTGCATTTTCCTCCCTTTCTGCCCTCAAAAGCCGGCTGGGACTGAAACTCACCTCTGTCTTCCAGGACTTCATTGAAGGGCTCAGAAAGTAGCCAGTTTTCTCCCACATCCTGACTTTCACCCTTTCCTTCTTTAAAAAAATCTTTTTATTGTGGCAAAATACAGATAACATTTACTGTTTTAACCACTTTTAAGTGCGTGGTTCCGTAGCATTAAGCAAATTCAAATTGTCATGTGTCATCACTACCATTGTCTCCAGAACTGTCTCATCTTCCCAAACCGAAGCTGTGTCCCCATTAAACGCTAATTCCCCACACATCTCCTCTGCCAGCCCCTGGTACCTACTGTTCTGTGAATTGACAAGTCCTTGGACCTTATCTGAGTGGATTAATATGGCATTTGTCTTTTTGTGTCTGGCTTATTTCACTTCGCCTCATTTATGTCTTTGAGGCTCATCCATGTCATAGCATGTGTCAGAATTTCCTTCGTTTTTAAGGTTCAGTAATACTCCATTGAGAGAGAGAGAGAGAGAGAGAGAGAGAGAGAAAGAGTGTGTGTGTGTGTGTGTGTGTGTGTGGCACATTTGGTTGATCCATCATCCATCAGTGGGCACTTGGGTTGCCTCCACCCCTTGTCTGTCGTGAATGATGTTGCTGTGAACACAGTTGTACAAAGAGCTCTTCGAGTCCCTGCTTTTGATTCTTCAGAGTGTGCACCCAGAAGTGGAATTGTAGGATCATAGGATAATTCTGTCTACTTCTTGAGGAAGCCCCACACTGTTGTCCACAGCATCTGTGCCATTTTACCTTCCCCCCAGTAGCACACCGAGGCCCCAGTGTCTCCGTACCTTCACCTACACTTGTTTTCTGTTTGTTTGATAGTAGCCATCCCAGGAGTGTGAGGTGGTCTCATTGCAGTTTTGAGTTGCATTTTCCTGATGATCAGTGGTGTTTTTTTGTTTTGCGGTACGCGGGCCCCTCACTGCTGTGGCCTCCCCCGCTGCGGAGCACAGGCTGTGGACGCGGCTCATGGGCCCAGCCACTCCGCGACATGTGGGATCCTCCCAGACCGGGGCACGAACCCGCGTCCCCTGCATCGGCAGGCGGACTCTCAACCACTGCACCACCAAGGAAGCCCCCAGTGGTGTTAAATTAAGCATCTTTTTATGTGCTTTTTGGCCATTTGTATGTCTTCTTTGGAGAAATATCTATTCAGATGCTTTACCCATTTTTAAATTGGGTCGTTTGTTTTTTTGGTTGATTTGTAGAGTTCTTTATATATTCTGGGTACAAATCCCTTATCAGATATATGGTTTGCAAATATTTTCTCCCATTCTATAGGTTGCCTTTTCATTCTATCGATTGTCTATTGATTGTCTCTTTTTTTAAAAGTTTTATTTATTTATTTATTTAGGCTGCATTGGGTCTTCATTGCTGTGCGCAGGCTTTCTCTAGTGGCAGTGAGCAGGGGCTACTCTTTATTGCTGTGCGCGGGCTTCTCACTGGGGTGGCTTCTCTTGTTGCAGAGCACGGGCTCTAGGTGTGTGGGCTTCAGTAGTTGCAGCATGTGGGCTCCGTAGTTGTGGCTCTCGGGCTCTAGAGTGCAGGCTCAGTAGTTGAGGCGCATGGGCTTAGTTGCTCTGCGGCACGTGGGATCTTCCCGGACCAGGGCTCGACCCTGTGTCCCCTGCACTGGCAGGTGGATTCTTAACCACTGCACCATCAGGAAAGTCCCTGTTTGTCTCTTTTGATGCACAAAATAATTGACTTTTCATGGAGTCCAATTTGCCTATTTCTTGTTACGTGCCTTTGGTGTCATATCCAGGATTATTGCCAAATCCGATGTTGTGAAGCTTTTGTCCTATGTTTTCTCTGAGAGTTTTATTGTTTGGGGTCTTACATTTAGGTCCTTGATCCATTTTGAATTAATTTTTGTCTGTCACATTAGAAGAGGGTGACCCTTCCCTTTTTCTTTTTATTTTTGGAAGTATAGTTGATTTACAGTGCTGTGCCAGACCCTTCCCTTTTTTATCCAAGTCCCTCCCGGCCCGGTCTCCAGAGAGGGTGGGTGGGTTGAAGGGGGTGGTCCACCCATCCATTTGCTCTCGAAGTGCGGGAGATGCCTCCTTTGGAGGCCAGCCCCAGGGCGGGCCGCTCATTGCCTTGTGCTCACCCCACGGCCTGTGCCTCTTGTGGGGCAGTTGCAGGCACTTATAAGCTTCTGGCCCCATCCAGCAAGAGAAGTGTTCGGGGGGTGTAGAGCAGCTCACAGCAATCGGGCAGGCAGGTCAACCAGGGGCAGATGTGGGCGCCCCCGGGGCCGCGAGCACGTGATCTCCGTGCCTGTCTTGTGTGCAGCTGTCCCAGGCGTTGGGGAGATTGACGAGCAAGGCAGACAAAGCCCTGCCCTGTGCCTTTTAGTGGGAAGATGAAACAGGCTACATACTGGATGTTCCGGAGAGGTGAGCCCAGGCAGCGGGGTGGGCCAAAGGAGAGTCAAGCTGCAGAACTGGGGGCGGGGCAGCCTGAGAAGAGGAAGCAGCTGGTCCGCCCTGGGGTCACTCATTGTCACCTCCATACCTTGACCCTTCCTGGCCAAGGCGTCCTGAAGCGCCTGCTTCTCTCTTTAAGGGAGCAAAGCTTATACTGGCTGGCGATTCAGCAGCTGCCCACGGACCCCATAGAGGAGCAGTTCCCCGTCCTGAACGTGACCCGGTACTACAACGCCAACGGGGACGTGGTGGAGGAGGAGGAGACGTCCTGCACCTACTACGAGTGCCATTACCCGCCCTGCACCATGATGGAGAAGCAGGTGCGCGGTGGGGGAGCCGGGCCTCCCCTAGGACTGCCCTCTCGCGGCTTCTCTCCTGCGGTGGCCGTTCCTTTGTCACTGCCTGACCAGGGCCCAGACCCTCCGGCCTCGGCGCACGGGTGGCCAGGTCCTCGCAGGTCTGCCATGTGACCGGAGCGCTGCTCCTCTGTGTCCTTTCAGCTCCGGGAGTTCAACATCTGCGGGCGCTGCCAGGTGGCACGCTACTGCGGCTCCCAGTGCCAGCAGAAGGACTGGCCGGCCCACAAGAAGCACTGTCGGGAGAAGAGGCGCCCCTTCCAGCATGAGCTTGAGCCGGAGCGATGACCGGGCGGTCAAGTGGCTTCTGATCTCCCCGGGCTGCGGGCTCGGCGGGCGGCTGGACCGGGGCCACCAGAGGGGCTGTTCCTGTGTTCCTGCACCGGCTCCGCCACCGGAGGCCCCCACCCCCCGCACCCGGCGGAGCAGAGACAGCTGGGAGGCCCCCTGGGACGCTTCTCATTATTTATATGTTAATATGTTTGTAAACTCATGTACAGTTTTTTGGGGGGGAGGCAGCGGGAGGGTTAGAAAGTACAAATAGGGTCATTTGCTGTAACACTCACTTTCCAGGCGGCTGAGCCGAGGAGGGCGGCCCGCCCAGGTTGGGGCAAAGTAAAGGGTGGGACCGCCCGGAGTCCTGGCTGCTGTCTGCTCTCCGCCTTGGCCGGCATCCGTGGTGTGGGTGCGGGTGTGAGGACTGCCGTCCCCACCCCCAGGCTGCATGGGAGTGTGAGGGAGATCCAGACATGTCACTGTCCTGTGACAGGAGCTGCTGAGGGTGGTTAGTTGCTTGGCCCCTGTTCTCAGCCCCTTTGAACTCATGCAGTGGGCGCCTGAAAGCTTGGGGAGGGGCGGGGGCGGGGGGCTTCTCCCAGCAGGACTGCTGAGGTCCGCCTGCGACTTGGAGCAGCCCGAGGGGTGAGAACTGCTTTCCTGTGCTCCTTCTGGGAGCTGCAGATCTCAGGGCTGGGCAGCATCTTGTACACCTGGCCAAGCCGCCTGGGGGCCACAAGCTGGGTGGTGTGGCTGGGAACTTGCTGGTCTCCAGGGAGAGTGAAGGCCGACATCCGTCTTGGGTCATCCCTGGCCCCACGTTGGTCCTGCAGGCTCCTGCCACGCCCTCCTTTCTGCAGTGTTTCTGCAATCTCTCAGGATGCCATGTGTGTGCTCTGCTTCCCTGGCTGGGGCTAGCCCCTTTGTGGCCTTTGGTCTGTGAACTGAGCTGAGCTTTCCGTAGCTTCTTTTGCAGAACTTGGAGGCCTCCTGGGCAGTGCGTCCTGGAGAACAGGACTGGGGAAATGGGTGATAGCAATATGCAGGGAGCAAGGGGGAAGGCTCAGTTCCAACCCCGAGGGAGGGGTTTTCTGCAGGTGAAGGGACTCCACGTGCCCACACGGGTTTTTGCTGAGAAGACCTTGCTACCATGCAGGTCAGCTGTGGTGCCTCTTCCAGGTTGGGGTTTTTTGTTCCGGGTTCCCCCAACCCCAGGTTGAGCACCAGTGGGGGCTCAGAAAGCTGTCAGAGAAGAGGCTATGTGATCCTGAGAGACTGTCCTACTGACCACAGCTGGCCCGAGCCCTCGGGACGTTCCCAGGGCCAGGATAACTCCCAATTCAGAGGCCAGCTCTGGCCAGGCCCATGGGGGTGGGGAATCCGGTGTAGACCAGCGTGTTGAGGTTTGGGTAGTCTTCCAGGCATGGGGCCCTGAGTGTGCTCAGTCTGCTTTTAAAAACAGGCTCCTGGGATGAGGAGGCCCTGGGCTACAGGCTGTGTGACTTGCCTGTGTTCTTTGGGGAGTGGCCAGGTCGGCCCTCCAGCCTTTTTACGTTTCCTGACCAGGACTGTCTTGTGAACAGCTATTCCTCAGAAAATTACATTGAAAGGGAAGTGCCAGAGTGTCGGCCGACCCATAGGATGCCACGCTGGGTCCTGATCCCGGATGCTTGCCACTGTGGCTCATGGCTCATCTGGAATAGCCTTGACCCAGGGATCGCTGTCCAACGTGGCTGCAGGAGCTGGTGCTATAGTTGGTGGCTGTCCGCTCCTGATGGTGCTGTGTCTTGTGCTACTTGTTAGAGACTCTTTGAGTCTGGGCTGGAGCTAAGAGGGTGGTGGCCATGGGGGCCTAGGGTTTGCTCATATCAAGACTCCTGGAGTGGATGCCCTCGTGGAGCTGCCCCAGGGTCCACACAGTGTTTTTATTCCCCTTTGCTTCCCTTGTTCTTTATTTGATACCCAGCCCCTGGTTTCTTTTCTCTTCTAAAGGCCCCGAACCTCTTAATTTTTGTAGCCACACATCTGAGAGCGTCTGAAAGTTCAGCATTCATTCATGGTTAAAACGTGGGCCATGTTTACCTGTTTGGAGCGAGGTGTAGGGGGCTGCTTGGCCTGACTGCCTTTTGTACCAGATCAAATCAAGATGTGTGGCTCAGCCATTTCAGGGTGTCCTGTGGCTTCCTGACCAAACTTTTCTGCTTCTCTGCTTCAGCTGCCATCTGAGCTGCTGACTGGTATCTGTATTTCTAGTGATAGAAACCACTTTAAAAACCACAGGCTAACTACCCAGGTAGCCATGTGGATTTGTCTTGTCCCATTTCCTGGAGCTGCCATAACAAATTATCTCAAGCTGGTGGCTGAAAACAAGGTATGGTCTAGGTCCTAGAAGCCAGAATTCTCAAATCAAGGTGTGGGCAGGGCCATGCTCCCTCTGAAGGCTCTAGGGAAGGTTTGTTCCAGGCTCTCCCAGCTTCCGGCAGCCTCAGGTGGTCCCTGCCTCATAGAGACCTACCAGTCTTTACATTGTCTTCCGTTGGTGTCTAACAGACCACACCTCCCCTTCCTAAGGATGCCAGTCATATTGGATTAGGGCCATCCAAATGACCTCATTTTAACTGGATTACTTCTGTTACTAAAAACCCTGTTTCCAAAGGTCACATTCTGTGGTGCTGGAGATAAGACTTGAACATATCTTTCTGGGGGACACAATTCAATCCAAAACAATATCAGACACTTGCCTTCCCCAAACCTGTTCTGTAGAGTTCACTGACTTTATTGAATGCTGTCGGCACATACCTGGTTTACCAAATCAGATCGTGGCTGTGCTGGGTGTCCTCCCCTTCATCCTAACTCTAACTGGCGCACAGACCTCTGCCCCTGGGGCTTAGACGCTGGCTCTTCTCCATGCCTTCTGTCCACTTTCCCGTCCACCACCCATGCTCGGGGCCCTGTGGCCGACCCTATCTCCTTTCTCTGCTGTCCAGTCAGGCACATGTGCGCCCACCGATGCGCCGCGCTTACTGCCCTGTGGGCAGCTCCTTGGGGGTGGACATGACCAGGGAGAGGGAGGGCAGCCCAGGCCCAGCCCTTTTGGGTCAGACCCTGGACTATGCTCCCTGGACGCCCAGGCCCCTTGCACACCCCACCTCCATGCCCTGCTCTCCTCTGCTCCCCCTTCAGAGCCCAGCTCGCCCGTGACTGTGCTGGACGCTCGGCTGTCCCCTCCCAGGCCCGCGTCTCGCCGCCACGGCAGGGGGCGCGCCGTGGCACGAGGGGCCAGTGGAGGCCCGCAGGCCGGCAGGGGGCGTGAGGTCTCGGCCTCACGCTGGCGTCCACGGGGGCCGGAAGTCCCTCCCCGGAAGGAGTCATGGGGACGACGGCGGAAGTGGGAGAAGTACCGCCCCTTGGGCTGTGCGCCTTCTTGGCGCCGCGGGCCCTGGGCTCCTGCTGTCAGCCTGGCTTCCTCACTTCTCCGCCGCCCGCTGTCCGCCACCCCGGTCGCCGCCGCGTCCTTCTCCGAATGCTGGGCGGCCGGCAGTCGCGTCCGGCTGTTGCAGGCGGTGGACACGGAGCACACCGTGGACTCGGTGGAGTGGTGCCCGCTGGAGGGCTGCAGGCACTTGCTGGCGTGCGGCACCTACCAGCTGCGGAAGCCGGAGGACCAGCCCGCCGACCCGGAGAGCAAGGTGCGCGGGGCCATCGTGGCCTAGGGAGGTCTTCACCGTGGGTTTGCAGGTCTGCGACCTCAGGTGGCATTTCCCGAGCACCTAAAGCCCCAGACTCGAACTCCTCTCTCAAGAAGGGCGAGAAAAGGCTCTTGAGAGGCAGAGCCGACCACAGGCTTTGAGATCTCTGTGATCTGCTGCGGGGGAGGCTGAAAGGGAAAAGTCTTGTGTGGAGTCGTTCAGGAGGTGTGGATGCGACCTTGGCCTTGTGGCCAGAATGTAGGTTAGAGACAGGGCATCCTGAAAGCGGGATGTCGTCTCTCTGCAGGCGTGTCGTCAAGGTTATGGGTGAAGTCTAGAGCAAAGAGAAAATGGGATTTCATAGGAGCTGTACGTAATCTATTGAAGGCATCTAGCTATGCGGATCCAAACCAGGATACTTTTAAGAGTGAAAAATGGCACTGGAGCAACAGGCCTAAGCCAGGACTCTCCCAGGCAAACTGTGTCCTGTGGGGACCCTAACTGTAGCTCCTCCCTATTGGCCCATTTAGAAGGAGCATCCCATCCTGGGTCCAGCAGGGTTTATCCACCTACTCATTAATCATGTACAAGAAAAGAGACGTTTCTCCAGCTCAGAAAATCATCGGTGCTGCTCCCAGGCAGAGGTCCGGAGTCTGGCAAACCTCTTCTTTCCCTCAGTCCCTTTTCCCATCCCTTGGGTTCCTCAGTATTTATTAAGGTAATCAGAGAACACATTTGCATTTTTTGTAGAGTGGACTGGATGTCGATGAGCCTCAAATTCGTTTGGGTCGTCTCTACCTGTATAGTTTCAACGAGGACAGCTCTCCTTGCCCCCTGGTTGAGGTCCAAAGAAGAGATACTTCGGCGATACTGGACATGAAATGGTACAGCTTTGGTAACCGTTCCCCTTGTTTGGAATTTGTCATGAGTACCTAATTGTTTGGTCAGAGGAGCCTGATGCCTGACAGCATTCAACAGGACGGGGAAGTGTCTGAAGTTTGGGTTCATTTCTTTACTGTGCTGTCCTGCCTGCCTGTTGGCACTTGGAGGATGCTGTAGACTTGGGGCTCGTTTCCTTTTTCAGTTTCCAAGCCCTACAGGTACTGTCAGTCTGGGAAGTGAGGCTAGTTTTCTGCTTCCTAAGCTGAGTGATCTTGTTGGAACAGAACTGTAGGCTCCAACCTGGTATTGGAGCTGAAATAAATACACTTATTTATTTATGGCCGTGCTGCGCGGCTTGTGGGATCTTAGTTCCCTGAACAGGGATCGAACCTGGGCCCTCGGCAGTGAAAGCACAGAGTTCTAACCACTGGACCGCCAGGG